CTAAAAACAATGATTACAATAGTCAATAAACCTTTTTATAGTTTACCAGTCAATAGTTTGACCATTGCGTACTCATCACCTCTCACGATGGTAAGCCCTTATACAAATAGTAAACAATATAAAACTTCTATCACGTGTATAATAGCAATTTCAGATAATCCGTTTAAACTCTAATTGTTTAATTTCATTTTTTAATTTCTTTCGACTATTTTATATTTATACTACGCATAAAAATAAATAAATTAATACCAAAATGAATCTATCTATCTATCTATGGTTTATTGATTCTTTAATCAATATACCAAAAATAATTGTATATACCAATTTAAAATCGATGTATTTAATACACCCACTAAATAATAGAGTGTAGGTAAATAGGTTTTAGGTGTGCCTAGCCCTATATTACATCGTAAAATTACAAAAAGAGTATTAATATCTAGGATCTCGCTTTTCGAATAAACAACTTCCTCATAGCATAGGCTACTTAAAATTACGATGTAGCTATATCAATTTAATTGTTAACAACTGTTTTAACCGACGATTTAACATACTTCTAGGTTGGCAGGATACAACTTATCGCGTAACTAATGAAGTATACACATTGAGTGCATGTAATTTAAATCTTGTAGTTAGTTTACTTTTCGGGTACAATGAGATTTGTTTAAATACAAGAAAATCATAGAATGCCGATTTACTTTATCTAATTGATTTGCTCAAAGTTACATTTAATATTTTTTTCTGAAATGCTCAACGAAAGTATAATTTATTTTGAATACTACAAAATGACCTTGCATTGTAAAATTGTATGTTTGTTAGAGCCAAGAGTCATACTTAGTAACGTTTGAATGCAATGACGGTTACTAACTGTTTCTCTATTTTTTCTTGTAGATTTTACAATGTTCGTTTTACTCTTTCTTTATGACTTATGAAATTAGTGTTGTAGTTAAGTACATCGGAGAAGTTCAGTAGTTGACAAATTTAGGGTTGTGGTTGTACGTGGTTTATTGATTTAACTTACTGCTATAACCTACAATTAAATACTAAGTGCAACCTACACTTAGGTACACGTGAGTGCACACGAACGTTCCTAAACACAAATACGCGTAGAATAAATTTTCAACAGCAGATTTAAGCAGTTTTTTTTTTCAGACTCATAATGAAATTTATGATTAAATGGTTGTTTGGCCATTTTTAGAGTTTTAATGGTACGAACTTAAATTTAAGTTTAAAAAAATCATAGTTGGTTATGTACTTCAACACAATGAACTTTTACTATTGTCGGGGGATTGGGCTGGTCTAGTGGTAAAACGGGAGAGTTCGCTGCCTAAGGTTACGGGTTCAAATACCGCCAACCACCAATGGAATTAATCTAAGTGTTAATGCAGCGACCCCTCTTAGACCTAGCCTGAGTTAATAATGTAAAAAATAAATCCGGTCTAGAACTTAGAGGATAAAAAAATCATTTTTACTAATTATTGGAAAATGTATACGTATATCTTGTTTAGGGTTGGGGTGTGTTCGTGTTGGTGATGCTGTGGCACTTGCTTCTTGCCAATGGAGAAGTTTCGCCGGTAAGTTCTTCAGTGAGCAAAATGAAAAATCAAGGGTATTCTAAAATCTCTTATATAGTTTAAAATGAAATTGTTGATTGATTATAGAACAATAACATGCGAATAATCTAGCCAAAAAGTACTTCTTGACTATTTTAGCTTAGTAATCAGCATTTAAAAGATAACCAAACCATAATACAATTTTTTGGAATATTCTGTAGTTATGCATGCATTTTAACAAGAAAATCTACATAGTCAATGCTTTTGTAACATATACCATGTATATTCGCCTAAGTATGTTTATCCTTCCCTACACTGTATCTACATATATGGGCATACATAAAACGTGCAAAGTGGGCTAATTAATTTTTAACACTTGAATAACTAAATAACTACATCAAATATTGACGAGAGTTTACTTTTTCTTTATAGTGGCTTCAGAAATTTACAAATAATTAGACTCTGAAACGGAGATTTAAAAAAATCTGTTTTAACCATAGGCCTACTCTTAACACGCTGTATTTGTTCTAATTATATATTCTCATATATAATAATTACGAAGGATCATGAAAAAGAGATAAAAAGGGCTTGTTATGGTTTGTAAATCCACATTATTACCCCGCAAAATCATTCGGCCCAATTATTAAATGATTTATGTAGCTGAACAGTTTAAGTTAAATACAAGAATAAGTGACGGTTTTACAGTGATCATACAATCAATGGTTTAAACAAAATTACCCATTAAGAACATCCTCTACGTTTCTTAAACGTGAATAATGTTAATTTAAATAAGTAAGTTTTAATCATTCTCCTAGTAATTTAATAAAATCTTAATCCTGAAAAAGGCAGTCGCTTTTTGATGGTTCGACACTGGACCCAGCTGTCCTTGATCACTGGGTTTTAAATCAATGATCCTGACTGATGAAACAAATATTCTTAATCAGAAACAAAGCTACACAGATCGACTCAAAACTTTCTACACTCATATTTGGGTTAAAATACGCACCTAGGTGGCGTTCCCATCTCATTATGATGATGATAATGATTTACTGAAATAACAATTGTTCTAATATTTTAATAGACGCATTGAAAATGCATTCTTATCGTATATACTTGTCAACAATAAGTACAAAAAATGGTTTATTGTATCGGAAAAGTTTCCAATCGAAGCATCGACTATTTAAAAACCGTTATGGAAATAAGATTCAAAATTACTGATAGTATCGAAAACTATATTATTATAACTTTAAACTTCACGTAGATACACTTAACTTTAATTGGTTTTAAACCTAACAAACATTTGTTTTATTATAGGCACAGAAAGAGACCACCGTAGGTGCTGAAAATACTGATAACCAAAATGAATTGTCCCTAAACCCACCAAGTGAACAAGGAAAACAAGACCCTTTTGTGCAAATAAAACACTCAAAGTCAGTTTTAAATAGTGAAAACAACAAACCGCAAGATGTCCAAGGAGGGAAACCGAATCAACAAGAAAAACAGGACCCTTATGCACAAATGCACTCCAATCCTTTTGACAAAGGTGAACAGAAAATTGACGTAAATGGGCAAAATTACGAACTTAAAAGCCCCCAACTCAATCAGCATTTTCAACAAACTCAATCTTTTCAACAACCATATCAATACCAATTGAATCAAAACCAAAATCCGTTTTGGACCAACCCTTTATCTTTTATCAGTCAGAATCTTTTCGGAAATCTAGGTTTCCAGCCGCCGCCTCCCCAGGTCTCTGGATCTCATACGGAAACGCTCCTCCACCACGAGAAGAACCCCGCCCTGGAAGGTCAGCCCGTGCAGGGTTTCAACCCTCCAAGTCCATCTTCACACCAAGAGGTTGCCGAAGCTCAGAAGAACTGGTTTGAACAACAGATGAAGAACATGCACCAAAAGGTGCAAAACTGGTTTAAAGTCTGAAACCAAGTTTTAAGTCTGAGATTTAAAAATGTGCTCTTGGAATTGGTTGATTAAATGTTGCAAAGGATTATGTATGATTATTTTCGCCTCAATTTCTTTTCACATTGAACAAACTTCTACCAGTTTTTTATTAAACTGTATTTAAATTTTTGTTTAAATTTTATTTAAACTATAGGCCTAACATTATGATGTCTCTATTTAATATTTACTTATTTTTAAGGAATAGTCACCCAGTATATTAATACATGTTTTACTTAGACAAATAAAATTATTGTATATCCAGAATGTAACCGATATTGTTATAGCAGATCTAGAACTCTTTTTCCGCACACGGGCTTATGCCTATGCGGAAAAATATATTTCTTTATAATTTGTATCTGTTTACTGTTTTGTTTAACTTTTGGAAATAAAGGATTTGACTTTGACTTTTTTTGACTTTAGTATTGGTAAATACTCGTAAATATTGATCAATGTTAAAAGTGATTGTAAACTGCCTTCCATAAAACTGTCACCAAGTTCATCTTTGTTTGATATAACTTTAATATTAATATTAATATACAGTATACGAATATCGTTTCATAGCACAAAATATTTTGATATAAAATTATAAGTGAACAGAGCAAAATTACTTAAAAAATTATTTACAAGTTTAATGTCAACGAATTGTTTGAAATGGAGAGGTAAAAAATAAGCTATCTGTCATTGAACAACAGGTCCAATAACAAAAAATGTTTTAGTCTGTTAATTACGTTTTCGTCAATAGCTTCAATGTATCTATTTTTTGTAAATAATTCGTTTCAATAAATTAATTACATTTAAATGACATTCATAAAAAACTTTATAATACAAATTACTTGATTAGATTATGTTATCGTTACAAAACTATAATAATAATAAATTATAATTACATTTTGTAAAATAAATACAGTACGTATTATTTTGAATATTAAATGATTTTTTGCAAAGAACTATCATACTACTAAGAAACTTTAAGCAAAGAGATTTTCAACGAAAATGAATCTTAAGTATGAGTGAAATTTGTTAATAAAATTATAAAACAAAATTGTAATTAAGGATTATGAAAATGCAACTAAAACAGATTTATTTAACGATGCATTTTCTATGTGTGATGTTAAATAAATATCCACAATCCACACTTGGTCAGCTGGAAAATTTAAATTGAATGTGAAAATTGAATTGAAGTGAAATATAGAAATAAACTTTATATAAAAAAACCTATTTGACGTAGTAAGATGTTAATTGAAATTTTGTTGGTGAAATTGAAAATAAACTCTATTGTTTGTTAACGCATTAAAAATATACTTAGTAGCTTAGCTCAATTAGACTCAGCAATAAAAATATTGTTGTTTGATTTCATCCCTTGTAATCGAGAATTGCCTGTAAAACACAGTTCATCTTTGATTAGGATAAAAAAGGAAATACAAATTTATTATATCTCAATACTTTACAATTTAATCACATGAAATATCCTTGAAAATTTTCAATGAATAGATTTTACCACATAAAGAAGTTTCTTAACAAGTTGTTAAAGAGTGACATCTCAGACTGCATAGGGTCGTTAAACGCAGGGTTTCGTCCCTCAACGCCTGGCTGTCCTTGGAAACCGGTGTTTTGATTCGGTTGAAAACCTTGGTTTGTATTTGTTTGCTGAAACTCTGGGTTAGGAGGTTGTTGAAACTCAGGGTTAGGAGGTTGTTGAAAGTCAGCTTTATGAGGTTGTTGAGCTTGCTGAGTTTGGAACCCAGTATTTTGAAATCCAAAACCTTGAGATTCCATTCCGGGCTGTTTCACTTCGAACCCTTGAGCTGGCTGGGACTTTGGATCAGTTGGTTGGTTTTGGGGTTGAAACCCTCGGGGTTGAGGGGGGAAATCGGGGTCTGAGAACGCTGGGCCGAATAGAAGGTCAAACAGGGAATATTGTCTTGGAGGTAAGCCTTGGTTTGGCGAAGGTTGTTGGACACCAGGTTGAGGAGGTTGGCCCATATTCGGTTCTTCGACCGGGTTGTTCGGCTGCTGCGGCTGGAAAGGACTCTTCACTCCAGGATCCTGAAAGCCAGGCTTGGGAGGTTGGTTGAGAGTTGAGGCCATCTGTTCGAACCAACTTGATCCCTCGATACCTCCCGAAGGAGCCTGGAACATGTTTTTTTTTAATTTAAAGTATTTTTAATACATTAATTTTATGTATTACACGTTTGCCTTCAGAACATTGCCTTGATCATACTGTTGTTAAGAAGTAACATGTTTTGAATTCGGCCACTAAAAACCCAGAACAATCAAAATACAAACGATTTGAGAGATAAAAAAAATTACATCATCAAATATTAAATAAGACAAGCACAAGTATAATATATTAAAATCATTGTAATTATTTATTATTGCTAAGTATACGGTATACGCATGTGTTTCACTATATGCATAACGAATCAACAATAAAATTAAAGATATTGAGAGTTATATTTGCTACAATTGTTATAAAATGTACCACAACTAAAGTTTTTAAGTATAATAAAATTTAAAACAATAACTTATAATGGAAATGACATTTATTAGTTTTTATTTAATACTAGCTGACCCGGCGAACTTCGTATCGCCTAAGTTATAGGTTTCCCCTAAGACAGACCGATGGAAAGAAAGTACCGTTACGTTTAATTTTCAAGATTATCTCGTTCGCATCGCTCAATCACGTCCTGGTTGAAGTTCGTTCGCTACGCTCACTCACCTTTGGGTTGGAGCTCGTTCGCTGCGCTCACTTGCCTTTAGGTTGGAGCTCGTTCGTTACGCTAACTCGTCTCCAGGTTAGCTCGTTCGCTACGCTCACTCGCGTCCAGGTTGAAGTTCGTTCGCTACGCTCACTCACCTTTTGGTTGCAAATTAGCTGATGTCATAAATGTAAAAGAAATAATAGTGCTGCACCCTGTTGGTAATCCTTGTAACGCTATTGAACATCATAGAACAGAACCAACTTGTTTAATTGAAACAGCTGTTAAGATTCATTAATTCCATTTCTCATAAGGTTAACATGGGAAACTCCAGAGCCACTGGGGCTGAGCCCTTTTAAGAATTTCGAAACGGGAAATAGTTTACGTCCGATTCGCATACCTACAGAATTTACACACCAAATTTCATAACGATCGGTGAAGTCGTTCCGGAGGAGTTTGCAGACAAACACTGTGACACGAGAATTTTATATATTAGATATTTCGAAAGATTATTAAATTGCTGAATTTTAATTTATCTGATATGTTTTTTTTATTTGTTCTTTTGTTTTGTTCTATTGAATGGGTATATGAATTCATGAAACATAAACTCACCAATGGCTTTGCCTCGTGCTGCCTGACGAGGAGGATAAGAGCAGAAACAATTATATATATCTGTAACAGAAAGATTGAAATTACCTATGCATCCCTAATTTCATGATATTTGTACGTCATCGTCACGAACAAATTTGAATTGATAAATTAGCTAAACATTTTAAATTGTTTTATGTTCAATCTGTGTAAAACACTATCTAATATTTAAAAATATATACCTAACTAATTCTCCAACTGTCAACTCTTCGGTTTCATTTTCTCGTTACACATGTTTTTTTTATCAAATTGTATGATAATTGTCAGGAACTATGTTTTTTAAACATTAATTATGCATTGCTGTAAACAGTAAGAGTTATTGTCTGCCCTCAATGTGTTTGGGTTTTCTTGTTTCTTTAGAAAGTTATTTTATTTCAAATGTACAGTTTCATACTTGTTACCAAAATACAAAGATTATAGTATATGAAGTTGAAACAATATATAAGAAAAAAGATTTAAAGTGTAACTAACTTTTGTGAAAATCACGTGAAACAACCGCGTCAATATTTAACATAGGGATAAATGAGGTTGAAATGGTTTATAAGCTTACACAATTACTCCGTAAACCGTTGTTAAACCGAATTATACCAACTACGCTCATTCGATTATTTTTGATAGTCATACAGCTAAACAGTTAAGTCATATTTATTACTCAGTGGCATTGCACAATGCTTAAAGCAACAGTGATTCAATCAAATAAGAATTAAATCTTTCACCCATACCCGAGGGAATTTTACTAAAGGAGGAACGGAAATGCTTTTTGAGAAAAAGTGGTGTAAGTTTTCAAAGTTTTTCGGTTCATTACTGATTAAACGTGTTACTTTTGTATCGAGGCTAATCGCTAGGCTCGAGACACATTTTATGTAGCTTAGTAATTGATATTGATACAATTATCAATTTTAGTAAACATTAAAAGATATCGGACTGATAAATGTCTCTAAAGTGATAAATTTCTAAACTGCTCTTTGAAAAACACCTATAGGGCTTGTGTTCAGTTTCTGTAATCAAACACTTTTATGGGTAACTGATTAAAACTCTTTAATTTTAAAGTCAAGAGTTCGAAAACTTTTCAAAATACCGTTATAAGCATACTTTTTTTAAACTAAAAATTCAATATTCTGCTTTTTGGTGTATTTTTTCTACCAACCCAAATGGGTAATTGATTTAATTTTGGTTTAAACTGATAAGTCTCGATAAGACCAATGTGCCAAGAGTTACACAACAGGATAGTTTTCCTCTAAAGCTTGAATTTAAAATTGGAAAAAAAATTATAATATAATTGACATTCTTTTAATTTGTAATGTGACCTTTTGTTGTATATGCTTTTTACGACACCACTGGTTTTCAACCTTTTCACTACCACAAAAAAGCAGCACTGTTCATAGAATTAATGATAAATTAATACACAAACTGAAGTACTCAAAAATAATAAAAGTTCAATAAAAAAATGTGAACATTAAAGAAACTTACCATTTTCTGAATACTAATTCCCTCTGTTGGACCGAATCTTCCTCAGAACTGAGACAAAGGCTTTAAATATCAATTAGAAATACGGATAATGGTACCATTAGAGGATGAATAATCGGCCTGGAGACTTCTAGAAGTTCTATCCGTTACTCGATAGGTCTGTTAGTCACAACGTTTGTATAAACAGCGATTATAACAGTTTTTTTTTTCTGTCGACTTTAAAGTTTGCAGTATCCCAATGGGTTTTAAAATGTTTGAAATATGGTTTTATACATATTTTTACCCTTAAACATATAAATCTGCAGTTTTTATCGTGTAGAGGTTAATTTTTTTTTATTAAGGCGTTATTGTAGTATTACAGGTCGAGGAGGAAATTCCACAAAAAATTACTTATGAAAATTCCATGTTGTTCTTAGGCAGAAAAAGTATTTTTTTTTAGTTAATTTGTTTATGGATACAATTTGATAATATTTATAGTATTTGGAAAATGTATTAATTTAATACTATATTAGTTTTCCTTTCCCTGTAGAAAACCTTAGTAGTTATGTTATTCAAACAGTGAATAAATCTGATACGATTAAGGGAATCTTTGAGTAAAAATCCAATTAGACTTGATGAGATTCGCTTGGTCTACAGGTTTGCTGCTGTGGGGATATTTGTTGTTCCTTGATTATTTACAGTATCCAGTTTACACATTGAGATTGCTTGATTATTGTTCAATTCTTATGTTGTTTATTGATGAGAATTGTCCTGTCTAGTGAATTCTTATAAGGTATTAGCCACCATTACTATTACGCAAATCAATTTATTTGAACGCACACATCCCAGACGTCTCGGAAAAAAATATTACCAGAATGTTGACCTTAGTTCAAATATTTATTTCCCAGAAATAATAAAAAGTATTCTTTGAAAAACTAATGTCTTGAAAACATTTCCTTTTTCTAATTAAATTGTTACAGAGAACTTGACGAGAAGTTGTGTCCGCTGAAATTTGCAGAAAGTTTATCATCATAAGGGAGAGAGTGGGTGTCTTCAGAGGCCTACACACATTTAAAATGGTTTCCGTCATTTGAATTATTTGATAATAATAATTGGTAGCATAAGTGTTAATTATCATGATAAAAGTTATATAGACCTAGAATGTATAAAGTTGTGCACTAAATAGCTTAGTTTAGATATAAAATAATTATAACTTCTTGAACCCCATTGCCATTTTCCCTCTAGCTCCCGTATAGGTATTTGTCGTGTTGTTAAAGGGTTTCACAAAGGTTCACAAAGGGTTGTAAAGGGTTGTAAAGATTTAAAACACAAATATAGGGTTTAAACATTTTTAACAACAATGGCTATTATGTTAGCTTCGGTCAATAAACACCTTAAATAGTATCACGTGTATGCAGCAAAAAAATTAAAAAGGGAGAGACGATTACGATGCCAAATAAATCAAGATTAAGGTGAACTAAAGTTTCAAAAGAGTCATAAATTTAAAAGCTCTTAGTACAACCCACGTTGGAGTACTGTATATTTAGAATATTTAGGTGAATCATATGGGAGGTATTTCGGCTCATTGAGATACACTAAGCCAGAACAAAGCATCAAAGAATCCAAATGTCTAGAGAGTTTGCAGAGAGCTCATAGAAAATTGACTTATTTCTATTTATAACTCAGGATTTTCATATAACTATTTATCTATATTTTGTAATATATACCCCCGCCGCAGCAAACCTGCCGACTAAGCGAATTTCCATTTGTCTTAATTGATTTTCAATTAAATATATTTTAATAACATTAGGTTTAACGAGTACCTAGGTTTGCTGCTACAAGGAAACTAAAGTGTGTTTGTCTGTAAATTTATGATAGCTTAGTACAAAATAAATAAATTTGATCAAAATACAAAATATATCCATAAACAAGCAAACTACAACATTTGACAATATTCTCCATAAGAATAACATGGGAATTTAAAATTTACAATTTTTTAAAATTTTCTCCGTTACTATTAATCGAACAAAAATACTTGTATATACTTAATTAATTGTTTTTTTAAGCTCTTAAGAGTCTAAAGAGAAATTGGGAAATTTTGTGTTTTGAGGGTCAAAAGTGAGAAAAACCAATTTTTACCCCATAAAACCCCCCGTAAAGCCCTGTCCCATGGTCTGATCATGCTGGTTCGCGAACTCATTCAGGTTTATCCCGCTTTACACCTTTAAACCAAATTTCATCAAAATCGGACGAAAATTACTCAAGTTATCGCGTTCACGGACGTATATATGTATATATATATTTATATATAAGTCTATATATAAATATATATATATATATGCATATATAATAATCTGAACGAATGGTGTTTTTGGCCTCTGGGGACATCAAAATGAAAAAGTAAATCGGTCCCGGGTCTAGGTCTTACCGTGCCACCTACGGTAATAGCTACTTCCCTATAGGGAAATTCGCTAATGTACAGCGTGTTCAAAAAAGTTGGGACATAACTTACGTGGTAATTCCTTGGGTCACAATAAAGAGAAAATCAAATATAAAATGGTTTCCCTAAATCGCTTCGTTAACTAAATATCCACCATTTTGTATTTTTTACATAACCATTTTAATCTTTGAATTTTTTCAACAGATTTTTATGAAACTTGGTATGTATGTTAAGGTAGATTAGACAATGTCATGTTAAGGTAGAATCAAGAAATGGCGGGCATTTAAATTTGTATAACTAATAATACTAAAGAATGGCTAATTAAAAAAGTCATGAACACTTTTATTTAGAATTTTTAATTCTCTATCAAATAAGAAATAGCTGAACAGTTACGATTTTTAGTTGTAAAATGAGGCAAACCTGAATAGCTTAGCCTTTCTAACCCATTTTACATCTAAAACTCGTAATATTTCAGTTATTTCTTATTCGATCTTTTTTAACTTGATATCGTATGTTAGGGAATCAAAAATGCTAAATAAAAGTGTTTTTTTTCATAAAATCAGTCCCTTTTTATGAATTAAAATGGCTGCCATTTTGAAATTTTTAGTTGAATCAAAATGTTTATTTTCCTTAAAAGGGGTCTCTTCTACTATAAAATACACACCAAGTATCATAATGATCAGTTGAAAATTTTCAAAGATAAAAATTTTTATGTAAAAAATACAAAATGGCGGATATATGGTTAACGAAGCGATTTAGGGGAAAATGTTATTATTGATTTTCTCTTTATTTTAATTAAAGGAATCAATACGTAAATTATGTCCCCACCTTTTTAAACACCCTGTACTCTATAATAAGCTGCACATTAACTGTTCCTGACGAATTATTTATGTTGTACTTGATAGTTTAAACATATTTTCTGAGCATGTGAGGGATAGGAGTTTGTGCATGGTGTAATACCTAGCCTTGTTATTCACTCTTTGATTCTGATTATTGAAATTCTTAAGTATGCATATGTTACCCACAGAGTATGTAGCCAGGCATTCTTTACACTGCCTCAATGAATCAGGAGAAGTAAGAAATAAAACCCTATACACTTTGCTAGTTATTCTATAGTGTTCATTGGTACTACTGTACAAGTAAAGTATCAAATAAGCTGTTTCACCTTTTCAAACTTCTATCGCCTTGTTTAGAATTAACTTATCTAATCTAAACAAAACCAACCATACGCAAATGTTTCAATAATCCTATAGTTTTGATAGATTTATCAGAATTCAACAACCATGTTAAAGATATAAAACATGGAAAAACGTATTGGATGTCACACAATGGTGTTTTATAAGCTTAGCATTACAATTTCCAGTGATTGACACTTCCCATGCATAATTTGTTTTTGGTATTACAACGTTAACAGACTGTGTAAACATATGAACTTAATTTATAAATTATCGGAGCAAATGTGGATATTCTATAGAATGCCTAGGGATTATATACATTAACTAGTCAAAGTGTAAAAATTCTCATAATAATTCATTAATTTCTTACTTTGTCTAAAAAGAGCCTTAGGCAAGTAAAATAAGTAATCACCGTTGTCAGTTTAGTTTAACCAACACTAGACTAAAGTAGTCTATTATGAGGTAATGTCTTTAATCATTTCTACTTATGACACTAGTCCAATAAGATTAGAGGATCAAAAACAACAATCCAGTACAAAAGTAAAAATATTTATTTTAATATCTTAAATTTGTTACAATAAATATTTCACAAACTTATAGCAATTTTAAGATTATCAGGTACTTTCGGAAGCAACACTTATTTTTTGCATTGAAGAATTTAAAATTATAGAAAACTGTTCCTGTACTTTACAATCAAAATCCGTTTGGTTATAACTACTTATTTTCTTATTATGATTTATAAATCCTAGCATTCTCTGACAAAAGACAACAAATATGCGACAATTTTAAACGTATTACAGAATAGTTCTTAAAAGCAACTAGCCTAAATCTATGTACAAGTAATGGCTTGAACACAAATAAGAGTATTTTATAAGCAAGTTCCTAGAATTTAAATATGTTAAAGGTACAAAATATTTTTTCAAGTATGTAGTTTTATTTTTAAGGCTGTAAATTTAAAACCAGCATGCTGAAAACAATTATTTATCCAGCTATATTAAAATATATTACGGAAATAATTAACTAACATTTTTTCACCCAACTGAAACACATCTTGTAGGAATTAAATTATTTTCGGTTAACAGTCTATTCCGTAATGCAAAAACTAAATGCATATTTTAGTAAATTTTTTTCGTCTCAATTTTCTAACATAGTTGCCATGTCAGTGCTACCTCCAATGTGTTTCTAGCTCAGTCACCAAGGGACATGAAATATTTCAAGATAGGGGAAAAGGTACAGATATATTTTGAGATCACTAAGTCTTCAGTAGTGCTGGGGGTAGTGTTGAGAATAGTGTTGAGGATAGTACTCCTCGTACTGGGGCTCGTACTCCTCATGGGCGGGCGCGGGCTGGTAGTGCACCACGGGGGCAGGATGGGGTATTTTGGGCTCTGTCTTCTTCACGACAGCATTGAACCCGTTGTGGTCATCAGCTGTGTACTCCACCGTCCTCACACTGCCGTCGGGTTCTATCAGGGAGTATTGTCCCTTGACTACGTCACCGTCCCTCGTCTCCCACTGCGATTTGCTGTCGCCCGTGTGGTAGTCGGCGACTGTGTAGTCGAAAGCGTACTTGGGAGGAGCCTGGAGACAGAAAAGATATGTTCATCAATCCGTACCAAAAGTCGCTATTTTCAGTAACAGCTGATCATAAAACGATTAGAGAACTACAAAGGATTTTTTTAAATCTCACAGTATACTAGATATTCAAACTACAATCGCTTTAGTGTTTGAAAAAATATTTTTTGATGGTCCCCCCTCAATAATATTTATGATATGCTTTCTGCCTAGCCATATTTATTTTAAAATACTAGCCATCTGCCTTAACAAAGTTTACTCGAGACCAAAGTACTTTTTCCTTCCTGTGGTTAGTGTTTAAATCCTCTGTGTCTGCTTGTGAAGTCATTTACGTAATAATAAACAAAATAAATACGAATACTTTTTAAATGCACACAATGATTGTTGGGAAATTCATAGGTTTTATTTTAAGTCAAAACAACTTCTTAGCAAAACCCAAAACAAATTATGTCCACACATTTCAGCCATAGTCTTATTTCAAATTTCGTGATCTTAAGTTTTTTCAACGATTAGTAAATCTTGTATTGTTTTACTAGCTTCCATAATTTGTCAAATAGTGTAGGTCAAGAAAGCACTCGTTGTTGCAAACTAAAACCTAAAATCTAAAACATTTTTAAGCTTAATGACCAAGCCCAAACATAGTTTCAAACTATGCCACTGTATTCCTTCAATTATGTTTCAAATAAACACTTTTCGTAGGTGGATAGTTTGGTAAACATGTACAATGGCTGTGAAAATGGAAATTTGGTTTAGTTATTATCCTTTCAACTGGGTTATTCGCGATCGGAACGTTGGTAACACTGGTGTAAGTGACAGCTGTCCGTCATGTAGCTTCTGCTGTGATTCGTGATCCTATCACAGCCTGTGTTTTGTGTACCTTAATTTTATATTGTGTATGGATATAGTATTTATGCTATAGAGAAACTATATACCAGATACAGTACAGAACAGAATGAGACATTTGCTCTGCTATTATGCATCTTGGTCATGTACAGGATGTCCTGCAACCATAGGAACAAACTTTAACGCGTAATTCATGACAAAAGAAACAAAAATTGTAATATAACATGTGTCCTATCTCATTCCGTTTTCGGTATATCTGTCTGCATGTGATTTACAACATTTATAGCTCCTTCTGCTTGAGCTACAGCGTTGAAATTATGTAGTAATATTGTATCTTATTTACCACTATGTTTGAGCAAAATATGAATAAAAACTCTTGAACTGTTTTTAAAAAGGCGGCTTATAAAATAATTGGTGTAAAATTCAATAAAAACCGTTAGTTTTACAAAATATTTGCAGGACAAATAGTAGAGTCCAGTAAATTTGATGCTTATTACAACAATATCTTATAAGCTTCGATTGGACAAAGAATAACTAAAAAATTAATCTTTTTCTTGCCATTGTGAAGTAATGCCTAAGACAGTTCCTGAGAGCCTAGGATGTAAAGGTTGGATTAAAAAAATATATATAGCCTACATTTTAAAGTATTCGTTGTCTAGTAGAAATTTTACACTAGACAGTGACACTAGAAATTGCACGGAATACATTTTCAAGGGAGCTAGCTGGTCTTGTGTTAGAGCACGGGGTCTCACTCCCCAAGGTCGCGGGTTCAATTCGTGCTGATCACCAATGGACCTTATCCATGTGATAGTGCTGCGATCCTTGTATAGCCTAAAATAATGAAACGGTGTCCAACTAGAGCCAAGAGTACGACGATGTGAATGTTGATCAGAAAAAAATTTACACACAGTACAATACGCAGTGACAGTAGACATTGTACAGTAGAATGTAGTGGTCGTGCCGTATTCTCGTGTAACCGTCCGGTGAAAGGACGCAGCGTGATCTGATGTTATCACCGTTACCCAAGGATGACGTCACTAGTGATAACAGTTGTAAATATTCATTACAGTACGACAAAGACCTATCCAGCGGAACTGTGTCATTGCTGTGTTTATTTGAAATGCTACCAGTGACTATTTTATTGAAATGAACGTTCCATTCCCGTGATAACAGCTGTTTCTAGTTTTCGAATCATAAACATTCAACCAAAAAATACATAAATTTGCCAAATTTTGTAAAAGTCTATTGATAATTATTTTCCTCCACAAGAATAACTTGGGAATTTTATACGTAAAGTTTTCTAAAATTTTCTCCGTAACCTTTTGTGCAACAATGCTTCAATATACAAGATCTATATTAATTAAAAAATCTACATGAAACTTTGTGAACAATAACGATTTTTTTTAAATTTAACCCCACATATTATACGTATACTAAAATGTTCGTGTAGGTGTGTACATTTGCAAACTGATATTACATGTTTGAAAAAGTCTCTTGGGCTCTGCCCCAGTGGCTTTTAAAGTTATCATGTTATTTTTATGAAGAACAAATTTGTTTACATTGATCAGCTGGGTATTTTAATTGTTGTAAATATTTTAGTTGTGATTTAAGAAAACGTGTACTACAAAGAATACTTAACATATTTATAGATTTAAGAGTACGAAGATATTGTTGGGTACATCTATGAAAACATAAAAAAATCTATAACCACTTATTGTAAATTGTATAATTTTACCCGGGCAAAGCCGGGTTTTGCTGCTAGTTGTTTCTAAACCTATTTATGGTAGTTGCAATGAAAATTGGGCATTTCAATGTTCTATGATAAACAAATATTTTTTTAGAAATTTTAGGCTCGAGTTATCAATAATAAATAAATATAAATTTTGTTTATAAATTTATTAAAATTGACGGAAAGTGTTATGACTTATTACGGGTATGACTTATTACTTTATTATTAATAAAGTAAAAAAAACCTAAAGTAAATGTAATTTTAGACTTATGTAATTGGAATGAACACTATATGAGTGGTCCATTCAACTATGAATTAAATGAATGATTAGATTTTTTATAATAAATGTCTACTGATAGGTCAGATGGATGTGATGTCTACGCATCCAAAGGTCAATTTTACTACGTAAACGTTATTGGTAAAGGTTTAAATCAGTAATTCAAAAACCTTTTGTAAGATACATGCTGCAATAAAAATTATCAGATGAGCACAAAACCCACATTAGAAAAAATAAAAATTAAATTTATTAACGATACTAAATTTGTTCCACAGATTTACATGTATGAAACCACCAGAAAAAATATTTGTTTACCGTATTCTGTTTTAAATGTTTTGAAGCTTTATTTTATTTAAGCCACTGTGGATATAAACAATACTATGAATCTGAAAAACGTATTGTATTTATCGTTGTACTATGTCAGTTTGCTAAGACTTTCTTGTGAAAGATGAAAACTCTCAACTCCTGCCGCTGATGGTTTCAAATTAACCTGTCAACCTAATTAGTTTTTTTTAAACTTGTCTAACAAGGTGTAAAGTTCTTTCATCAAACACAGTTTCTAAACTCACACATCTAAAGTACATCCTAACATGATTCACAATAAACCACTTAACAACGTTTATCTTCTCTTATGATACTCGGAATGATTCAAACATGCAAATTTAAACCTGACCAATGTCACATTCTAAGGTTTACTTGGAAACCAATATATTAACTCAAATTATGTTAACTTCTCATTTACTATTGATTTATGAGAATGTAAGCGTATGTTCCGACGACAAATACGCTGTTTTCAAAAACATTTGCCATTCCAACTTTGGTCAACACTAAATTGTTACCTTTGTTGTTGAACTTGAAGTTGTTGGCTTTGTTCAGTTAAATATAAACAAGGGAAAGCATGCTTTAGTTACGCATTTTATTAAGGTTCAACGCTTCTTCTAAAAGATTTAACATGTCTACCATTTTACTTTTCAAAGAGTATGTTTGTTTAAGACAACCATAAGGTGAACGAAACTACTGTTTACAATCAATTACATATTTTTATTTGAAGATCTCCACCATGAAATTTACAATTAACGTAAAATTAAATCCACCTACCTCAATCAGGTTACAGCTAACGATAACGGAGCCTATTTCAAATATTTATGTGATAAACTATTTTTTTCGATTTTTTAAAATCTGTCTGTGGTCAAAAATTCTAATTAAGGATTAGGTGTGGAATTGAAATTCACATTTTTAAAGAAAGTTGGCCAGCATCACTACATCCTTGAAAGCGACATAAATCAAAGGGGCAAAGCCCTAAGGGGATTAGCCTTTTAGTTACAATTCATCCCTCCCCTAGATGATAAGCGTTAAAGTTAAACCTCAATTGTATAAATAGGTCTGGTAGAACGGCTATAAAAAGGGGTGTTACGGAAAATTCCATGTTGTGTTAATTATATCGATTATTTACCTTAGGAATATTTAATTTTTAAATTGAAAAACATTAAATGGATATAGATTTTCACTCATATAAAAGTTTATAATATAAAACCAGATAAACTAACTGAAAGATTATTAAGGACTTCAAATATAGCTTGTGCTAAAAATGCCCTTCATAATTCTTTTAAAAACCCCGGTGAAGGGAACTAAAACTGTGTTTAATTTAACAGAAATCATCATGTGAATAATTCACTACTCGTATTACCACTAGTAAATTGTGTGACTTTTTATACTGCAAATAGATTAATTATCCTATTTTAAAATGTAATGCCTGTTTAGATATTGCTTTATAACCAGTTAAGTGTGATACCGCTGATCTTAACTAAGTTATTTTCCCTTAATTTGGAATAGCATCTTGAGGCATCAGTCGAGAGTACAAGAAGTAATTTTTAAAAATTGCAGTATTGTTTTGGAAAATAGTAGGGATAGTGAAATAATTATTAGGACTAGTAAACGTAGGCCTACTAAAACTGGACGTACGAAGAATTTATTTTTTATTCCTCTAGGTTCTAGCCCGGAATTGTTACCAAGTTAGTTGTATAGGTCTAAAGGGGGGTACGGCATTAACACCTAGATAAAACCCAGAGAGCACAGAATAGAAAATTTCTATTCTGTGCTCTCTGATAAAATCCAACTGACATTGTTGGGATTTGAACCCGGGACCTTTGGGACTTA